CTTCCGTAAGTCGCCTAACTCTCTGGTAAAATTTTCGGGCATTCCTCCTGTCGGCCAGCATTTCAAGCTCTTCGCACTCACGTATTTCTGCCTCTCTCTTCTTGTTGCGGCAAATACGTCTCGCTTCCCTCTTCAGATCCCTATAGCGGTCCCATATAGCGCGCGTTGCGCCCGATCGCAGCGTGGCCCTGTAGGCGGCACTTTTTTTCTCAGCAGCTTCCTGACACTTCTCATCGTACCAGTTGTTCTTTCGGGCTCGCTGAAATCCGACTACTTCTTCGGCGGCGGTACTTAATGAGCGGGAGATGTGGTTCCACTGCTCGCATATGTCGGTTTGTTGAAGAGTGCTCTCTGAGTGCAGGTGCGGGAGTCGAATAGCGAATGCATTGGCTGTCTGCTGTGATTGCAGCTTTTCGACGGTAAGCTTTCCTTGCATATTTGGGCGCACATTTTTTGCTGCACAGAGCCGGGTGCGCATCTTGGCTGCAAGAAGATAGTGGTCCGAGTCGATGTTTGGCCCTTGGAGTGTACGTACGTCCAAAACGCTGGAAGCATGCCTTCCGTCTATCACAACATGATCGATTTGATTTCTCGTTTTTCGATCTGGAGACAGCCACGTAGCTTGATGGATCTTTTTATCGGGGCCCGGCGAAGTCGATCAGTCTCAATCCGTTGTCCGACGTTTCGTCCGAATTTTCCGACGGTGGTTCCAAAGAAACCTTCCTTGCCCACCCCGACATTGGATTTTAATATCGTTGCGGGGGCAGCGCTCATAGAAGAGATCCTTGGATACCTCATCCTTCTCTTTCGTCGGGGCATGGGCGCAGATCAGCGAGATGTTGAAGAATTTCGCTTTGATGCGGATTATGACTAGACGCTCGTCCACCGGGGTAAACGAGAGTACTCCTCGACGAAGTCTCTCTCCCACCACAAATCCAACACTGAATTTGCGCTCCTTTACATGGCAGCTGTAGTATACGTCGCAAGGTTCCAGACATTGCTTGCCTTGCCCCGTCCAACGCATTTCTTGGATGGCGGTGATGTCAGCTTCCCGCTCTTACCAGGACATTAACCAGCCGGGCAGAGGCACCTTCCCCATTAAGAGTCCGGACATTCCAGGTGCATGCCTTCAAATCGTAGTCCTTTAATCGATTGCCGTAGTCGTCATTAAAAGAGGGGTTCTCATCCGAGGCTTTGTATCTCTTTTTCATTGCAGCCTGCTTTTACGTGGCGGGTCCCAAACACAGCGCACAATCCATTGTTGGAACGGGGGTGGTTTCGTAACCGAATACACGTTTATAAAGCGAGCCGCATGCTCCAAGACAGACACCCGCTTACAGCCGCACCTACTGGTGAACAGACGCTGCAGACTTCAGTGAGGTCTTAAACCGAATAAGTCGGAGTGGCCCCACCGAAGCTTTCTCTCTTTCTGCCGTGACCCAAGGCTCCACTCCGATTGGTTACCGCATCTCGCTCATGGGTTGCTCACGTAGCCCAGAGTGCGCGAACGAGGACGCAAGAGTCGGGATTGAGTATAGCCGTGCAACTGTAACTGCATACACAGCACAACGACTATACCCCTTTGCACTCCTATAGTTTTACTCACTTGAATAACGAGCTTATTGAAACTGAAAAATTAAATTGAGAATACGATAAAAAATTAGGTTAAAATCAATTTCCTCTTATGCAGCGTTTTTGCTGTATTTGAAGTGCAACATTTAGCGCTTTCGGACATATGTTTTCGAAGAGCGTTCATGCTATTTCATTTAGCAAATGTACATTTCCGCGAGCTCGAAATCGTATGCTTTTGACAAACAGCCGTGTTCCAGTCGCTTATTCAGATCCGTATCTATCACGATCAATTCGCACGGAGAAGATAATGTGTAAATAACTGAAAAGGAAAAAAAAAAGAAATTTTAAACAAAAAATTCAATACAAAAACTTGTATTGTTTTAACCATAACCGAAAATTTGTTTGTGTATATATTTATTTGTAGGTGCTGTCAATTAATTAGGAAATAAAACAAACAGAGTTGATCACAAATTCATCCAGATTTCTATCAGCATCACATCGATGTTGAATTTGCGTAACTTTTCTTTATCCAAATCTCGATCGGCGATCACTGAAACGCAGCTAGCACCTGTATACGCAAAAAGGCAATGTTGCCACTTTTTGTCATTAAATCATGTTCGAATCGTGGAAATCTTTGAAAATCATAGGGTTGCTTTAAGCAATTAGATTCTAAATGCAGAAATTGATTTGCATTTAGGTGACTAATTTTAGTTGTGTTCGATAACAAAATTATGGGTCGATTACGGATAGCAACGCAACCACGGCTCGGATGCCAGCTGCCAACGCAACTGCAAAGAAAATTTGTATTACGAATGGCAACTGTATAAGACATCATGTCCCATCACTGATTTAATTACATGTATATATTTTTCGTATTCAGTGGCATCACTTGCTTCTTTAGTTTTTTGTGATTCTGTCGTTTCCCTTTTTCGTAGCGCTGCACATTGGCAGGCATAACATTAAAATTGTAATTTGCTTATTATTATTATACAAATAAAGCTCGACTCGGACAGACGAGTCCTCTGTGCAATAAATTATCATTATTGATTCGATAGCGGTTGGATTTTTGGAGCGGCCCACGAGTGGCCGTCTGAATGTATCAAGGAGTTTCTGATACATTTTTGGTGCCTCCTGTGAGGATTGATTTTGAGGTGCATTCGCGAACAAGCGGTCGAGGAAGTCTCGCTTGGATTGGCAGTGCATCAGCCAGCTGGAGTTACCGACAAAGGCTCCACAGATTTAGTTCGTATAACGGAGTACTGAGACTTTGCCAGAAGTGCGGCAATAGCGGTGGTTTGTTGTCGCTTCGAGGTGACACAACAACAACTCGTGAGCCGTTTAGAATTAACTGTTCAATAAGCCGCTAATCAACGTTTGCTTTCTGGCGTGATTAGGCAGATATCATTTTTTTTGGAAAAAAACTGTACAACATATATGGCGGTATGACGTCTTTGAATTTACGTACTTCCGCGAAGTCATCGATTACGCGGATTTTTAATACGGTTCATACCGAGGGCTATAGTCCATACCAGGTCGAAATGGAGCACATTCTTGGAATGGTGCAGCAGTACTGGGATCGTTTCGTTAAACATCATTTGGATTTAGTCGCTGGGGCACAGTCGTCAGATATTCCTACTCACGATACACTGTACGCTAGCACGGAAGAGCAATTCAACAAGGTTTGCATTAAATTACGTCGCTTGCTATTGCAATGCACTCCTGTTGAGCATGACTTCGTGCGGACCCAAGCAGCGGATTTGCGGCTAGATCCTGTTTCCATACCACCCTTCGATGGTCAGGTGGAGAACTGGCTTGTGTTTAAAGACATGTTCGAGACAATGGTCCACCAACGGACAGATCTCGATCCAACATACAAGCTTAGTAAATTGCGGCAGTACGTCAAGCCTGAAAGTGTCCCAATGGTCACTGGGTTGTATACTGGAGGTTATGAAGAGGTTTGGGCGGAACTGAAGCGTCGCTATGACAACTCCTATCTGCTGTCACAAACCCACGTGCAACGTATACTAGCTTTGCCAACTGATGCACGGGACACACAGAAGGTGCTCCGTGATATCATCGACTGTGTACGTAACAGCTTTCGTGCATTATCTGTCATGGGGTTGCCGGTAACACAATGGGATGTACTTGCGATTCCAATATTGCTGCCAAAGCTGCCGGTAGCAGCAAGAAATGATTGGGGCATGAGCCTCAAAGACAACGATATTCCCCGATTGGAAGATTTATTGAGCTTCATCGAGCGTCGCGCGATGAATATGCCGGCTGCATCGTCTGTGTCGCATGGTGTGATCCCTCTTCACGGCATACGGCACAACGTGGGGCTAGAGCACACCTAGCGTCTGCACAAGCGAATGGTGCGAATACCTCAAGTTGTCCACATTGTTCGGAGAACCATCGTCTTGCCAAATGTCATCGCTGGCGGAATCTTGCAGTAACGGCTCGTTGGGAGACCGTTAGACGTTTGCGCCTTTGCTTCAACTGTCTACGTGACGGCCATGTTACGCGTGATTGTTCAGCGGGAGTTTGTACGGTTTGCCGCCAAAAACATCATACACTTCTTTGTCGCAGTCCGACTGTTGGTTCGGGTACTAGCATGGTTCCCACCAAATGGATTCAACGAATTCAAAGCCAGAACCTACAGTATCGCAGCCTCAGGTCTTCCCACGCGGTGAACAACAGTCAAATGTAGTTCAGTCCTTCTTGGTTCATGGTGATCACGTCGTGTTGTTGGCCACTGCGCAGGTTTTGCTCGCTGATCATCAGGGCAACCTACATAAATGCAGAGCTTTGTGTGATATGGGATGTCAGGTGAGCTTTTTATCAGAATCTATGTTTCATCGTTTGAATCTTCGTAGAAGACGCTGTGTCATGACTATTGAAGGCGTCGGCCAAAACTCAACGTACACTAGGGGCGTTACCACCCTTAACCTGCATTCGAGGATTGATGAAGGGGTCGACATTAGTTTCAACGCGTACATTTTGAATTCGATCACTTCATCGACACCAGCGATTCCTGTAAACACAGCCGCCTATGAGTACTTAAGTGGTCTACAACTGGCTGTCCCTACATTTGGTTTACCGGGGTGCATCGATTTGCTTATCGGTGCTGATATTTGGAGCACCATCCTCCAAGATGGAGTGGTATCAGGAGGCTGTGATAAACCATGTGCATTGCGTACTCGACCCGGGTGGATTCTTCGAAAATTTTGGGATGCGGAAGAACCGCCTGAAGGCAGCTATGTGGAGGACTGCGAGCAAATATTCATGGACACGTTTTCGAGGAATCCCGATGGTCGATATGTCGTACAAATTTTATTCCGATTCAACGCTCCGGCACTTGGAAATTCCCATCGTGGTGCACTTCGTCAATTCTTTCATTTAGAGCGAAAACTGGCTGGAGATGCGGATCTTCGTAACAGGTATATCCAGTTTATGCGGGAGTATGAGCAGCTTGGTCATATGCAGCACCTCCGAGAGACAGAAGTTAACTACGGCCAATGCTACTATATCCCACATCATGCTGTGACTGCGAAATTCCGCGTGGTGTTTAATGCCTCGGCTAAATCGAGCAATGACATATCATTGAACGACACGCAACTTGTTGGTCCCCAATTGCAGGACAATCTCGTCCACATCCTCCACAGATTTCGACGGTTTCAAGTTGCCATTAAGGCGGACGTGGAGAAGATGTTCCGTCAGGTCGAGGTGGATAAAAGGCATCGCAAATGGCAGCAGATTCTCTGGCGGGAGTCAACAAGCGAACCGATCCGCACCTACCAATTAAATACGGTCACCTACGGTATGGCTTGTGGACCGTACAACGCTATTCGCGCATTACGACAGTGCGCCAGTGATAACTTTTCAGTTATCCACAATGTTAACCGGGCAGCTGAGGCCAAGGAGAGCATCCTCTCAAACTTTTACGTCGATGATTACTTGGATAGTGTAGATACTACTACAGAGGCAATCGAGCGTGCTCGTTAAGGTTGCAAGATCCTGCGCCAAGGCCATTTCGTTTTGGGTAAGTGGAACTCCAATTGCGCGCTGACCTTGGCGGCTCTTGCGGATGCATCAGTTGCCACCACCGAGTCGTTTTCGAGTAATTCTGATACCACTGTACTGGGCTTGCACTGGAACCCTAATAATGACACTTTATTTTACAAAGTACGGTTGCCGGACCTCGATGCAATTCCTACTAAACGCAACGTACTTAGCGATGTCGCACGATTATACGACACATCGGGATTATTGTCGCCGGTGATCGTATGGGCCAAGATTTTTATTCAGATGCTTTGGAAGGCAGAGCTGCTATGGGATACACCATTACCAGGATATTTACGAGATGAATGGTTAACATTTCGGAATGGTTTGTACCAGCTTTCCAGTATTCAGGTGTTGCGTTGGCTGGGCATGACCAAGACGTCCACGGTAAACTTGCACGGCTTCTGTGACGCCAGCAGCAAAGCTTACGCTGCGGTCGTCTATGTGCGCATCGAAGATCCAGAGGGTGCGGTTCGCGTATCCCTGGTTGCGGCCAAAACAAGGGTAGGACCCAGTAAGGGTACTACAATTCCACGAATTGAACTCAGTGCAGCACGACTACTCGTTATGACGATGGAAGAGATTCGTCACGCCTTGCGACTGGACAGCGCAGATTGTATGTATTGGAGTGATTCGACCATTGTCCTCCACTGGATCCAGAAAGCACCGACCGTATTGAAGCCGTATGTAGCCAACCGTGTGGCATTCATACAAACTCATTCTGAAGTGAAGCATTGGCGACACATCCGAAGTGAACACAACCCAGCAGACTGCGCCAGTCGTGGCATTCCACCAACAGCGCTTGAAGATCATCCACTCTGGTGGACTGGTCCACCAATTATGTACACTTGCTTCAATCGCAGCACCGAGTTGCCTGCTTTGCCTGACGAAGAACCACACACAGCAACGTTGGAGAGCCGCCCCCCTCTCAGCTTGGTGACCGCTGCGACATGTGGGTTATTGCGCACGGCATTCGGCGGCAGACGAATTCCTTTGGTGGAGAAGTTTAGCCGTCTGAATAGACTGCTTGACACTACGGCACACCTACGATGAATCTTACCTGCATTCCGAGGTCACCGAGGCGATCCGCTGACCACAGAGGAGAGGGCATGGGCCCTTGAGCTTCACATTCGACAGTCACAAGGTAATGTGTACCTATCAGATATTAATTCGCTCAGATCTCATTCCAGCATAAGTTCCACAAGTAAGCTAGTGTCCCTGAATCCCTTCTTGGACGAAAAACAGATACTTTGAGTCGGTGGTCGCTTACAGAGAGCAGAGTTGTCATTTAATCAACGGCACCCGATTATTCTAGCGAAGGATGGAGCACTATCATGGCTGCTTATCGCCGATGCCCATGAGAAGTGTATTCATGGTGGCATTCAAGGGATGATGCAGTATTTGCGCCAACGTTTCTGGATCGTACGCATGCGCGCATTGGCCAAGACGTTCGTCCATCGATGTGTTGTATGCCGCCGTCATCAGCGAATCACCCAACAACAACAAATGGCATCGCTCCCGAGATCGAGGGTATTGGTTGCACCACCGTTCACTCACACAGGCCTCGGTTACTGCGGCCCATTTAATGTGCGACTGGGTGGTAAGAGGTCGAACGTTTTGACCAAGACTTATGGTGCGATTTTTGTCTGCATGGCCTCCAAGGCCGTGCATATAGATCTGGCTGAGAATTTGACAACCAGGGCGTTCATTGATGTATACGACCGCTTTACAAGCCGACGAGGTATTTGCGCCATACTTTACAGCGATAATGGTACGCAGTTTGTTGGAGCCAATAAACAGCTGCAGCTTGACTTGGCGGAATGGTCGAACACGCAAGCGAAACAACATTGAGCCGCTGTAGGTACGAAGTGGAGATTCATCGCACCTGCAGCTCCGCATCATGGTGGACTCTGGGAGGCCGCTGTGAGATCTGCGAAGAAACACCTGTACCGGACGATTGGTCGTCAGACATTGAGATTTATAGAACTAAGCACTCTACTATCTCGGATAGAAGCGTGTTTGAATTCCCGCCCACTGGTGGCTCTTCACGATGATCCCGAAGGTGGTCTCGCACTTACTCCTGGAGAGTTCCTCATTGGACGACCGCTTGTTTCTCGCCCCGTGCCTGCAGTGCCTGATGTTCCTGAGAATCGTCTCAAGTATTGGCAGCGGCTGCAGCGCATGTATGAACATTTTTGGAAGCGATGGCAGCAGGACTACCTTACTTTCGCTTCAGGCACGTGGTAAATGGGTACGTCCTCATCCCAATCTTCAACGCGGCGACGTAGTACTTATCCTCAACGAGAATCTTCCACCAGCTCACTGGCGTATGGCACGAGTCATCGATGTACATCCTGGCGACGATGGCCTAGTGCGCGTCGTAACCGTTGAGTGCAACAGCGATAAGAGGACAGACGAAGGTCTCTATGTAAAGCATCCATGTCAGCGACCGGTTCAAAAGCTTTGCCGGCTAACTGGTCCCAACGAAGAAATCCTGAACCGTGACTGTTCAGCCGGGCAGGATGTATAAGACATCATGTCCCATCACTGATTTAATTACATGTATATATTTTTCGTATTCAGTGGCATCACTTGTTTCTTTAGTTTTTTGTGATTCTGTCGTTTCCCTTTTTCGTAGCGCTGCACATTGGCAGGCATAACATTAAAATTGTAATTTGCTTATTATAAATTATCATTATTGATTCGATAGCGGTTGGATTTTTGGAGCGGCCAACGAGTGGCCGTCTGAATGTATCAAGGAGTTTCTGATACAGCAACTATCGTCAGTTGCTGTAGAGTTATCGATAATCGAAATTTGACAGTTCGACAACCAGCAAGTGGTTGTAAACGAGCTGTGCGAGTAAAATTAAATTATTAAAATAAAGAGTTTTAAAGAAAAGACAGCAATAAAGCTAAGTTCATCACAATTATTTGTTTAAGAGGAAGAGAAGTGCATGAACGCGGCCTCAATCAGGCGTCATTTAAAGGATAATTCCTAGTAATGTGCTGAGTCGATTCTTTTAAGTATTGATCGATACTCGGTACCGATTTGAAAAGTATCCAATACTTTCGATACTCGGCACCGAAATGTTTAGATTTCTAATGAGACCGCACAACAGCCAAATATATGAAGTAAAAGCAATTCAGGGGTGCCTCACGTACAAAATCCGAATGTAGTGACTATAGAGCTTTTAAAATTGCTAAAGTCATAAATGTATAGACATTTTCAAGAAAAAGGGCTTCTGTAAAGCTTCTTCCAGACATCTCCTTAAACCTTACTTGCACTGGTTCCAAATATATACCAACCCGAATTTAAATAAAAAATTAAGTACATTTACTATATATTTTATGTATGTGCACATATACCTACGTATATTCAAGAAATGTTTTTATACATACATTTATTTTTAAATATATACATTTTTGTATTTTGTATAAATGTAATCATATTTAAGTACGTACACTTTTCCGTTAGTATTTACAACGAACTAATAATACAAAGTTTTTTTTTTTAATAATATCAAATAACAATCAGGCACACATGGAGATCGTTTAAGTTTCTATGAATGTTTAAAACGTTAAAAATAGGACTTAGTTTTTTATTAATGAATTTTTCCACATTATTAGGATCTAAACGATTTCTTCACTTCGTTAACATTTGCCCCGCTTATGAAAATATACGTTCGCTTGGAACTGACGTCGCCACAATGCAAAGGAACTCTTTTGCAATCTCTGCCAATCTGAAATAGAAATTTTTTTTTTTCATTCCACCATTTTAGTGGACCTGATTTGCGATCTAAAAGCTTTTCATTTAAATATTGGTCAATTCCAATAATAGCTTTAGAATAACTATTAGTGCTTCCTTGAACACGACGATCAAAGTCAGTCCATAAGGGGTTGCTGTTTAAATTTACTCTGATATCACTACGTGTGGCCTCATTGTTTGAAATATTTTTGTTCCCGATTAATCGGACGAGGCTGTTTTTGCAGGCCTGAAAAGCTTCTTTGTCCGTACTGCATCCACCGCTGTAAAGTGCTGCCATAATCCGCTTCGTTTACCTTCGTTTTCTGCAATTAAATATTTGTAGCATGTAATTTCTAAGCTAATATTGTAAAGATACTTACTCAAATGCGATGCCATTTCGAACGTTAATGTATAATATTCAGACGTAGATTTCCTTTGAAAAGAGAGAGAGTTACCACAGCTATTGCGAATTTGAAAAAGTCTAACAACGTTGCCACAAGAACTGTAGCGGTTGGTAGGACTGTTGCGATAAGTACAAGAAAGCGATGAGTGTTTGTGATGGCAGTATTCTCGGGATGCGGTTGCCGTACATATTATGCTTGTTCATATTTTACGAAAGCATCGTCTGATTTGTACATTTAGGATCTTTTAGGCAATATCATATGAAGTAGCTATGAAAAAAATTATTTTTAAAATTTAAATATATATTATAGCGAAGGTTTCATGTATCGAATCGGTATCGGGTACCTAAAAGGAAGTATTGGATACCGAAATTTTTTGCAAGTATTGGGTACCGACAATTCAGCACATCACTTTCCAATCCTCCAGAGCAGTCATGCCCAGCGCAGGGTACTTGCATATGGAATTCTGCCAGCGCAGGGCACTTGCTTATGGAGTTCTGCCGACGTTGGGCAAGACTGCTCTAGAGCAGTGGTGCACAGCGTTGGCAGAGCTCCCAATACAAGCGCAATATTTTTGTATCTGCATCAGTGTTACCATTTTAGCCGTTTTCCGGCTAGATTTTTTTTTTTTTTTTTTTTTTTTTTTTTTAATATCCCAACGGTTTTTACCCTCCATTCCCGCCCATCCGCACGAGGGGCGCAGTCCGCATGACGTACGGAACCAATATTTTAAATTTTTATGCCGAGTCACGATGGGCAGGAGTTTGTTAAGTGTCGAGATCTAAAACTGTTCAGCT